ACACACACACACACACACACACACACACACACACACACACACACACACAGACGGTCAGCCGAACACTGACTGAAAACATGCAGAACGACTTAATCAACACAATATTACATCGTATAGATTTCATTAAGTGCAGAATAAACATGTGTTTTGCGGAGGATGAAGGGACTTTACCACGACAGCAGATACTACCAGGATGATATTGGCATTGATGTAGTCAGAGCCCGGCTCACTCGGTTCCCTGTCATTCAGCACCACACGCGTGTGGTCGACTGCAGACAGAAACAGAAACAACACAGCTTTTAAAATCCCACTCAGGTGGGCAGAAATCAGGTGAGCATTCGGGGGGGGGGGTTCTCACAAGGCAGAATGTTCTTGTATCTGTTCTTGTTTTTGTTCTCTGCTCTTTGGCCCTCTTTGCGACTGTAGAGCAGCTTGCACTCCTGTTGCTGCAAAGTCTGGATGGAAAGAGAGAGACAGTATAACACCGTGAGAAGAGGTGAGAAACAATAAGACACGATCAATACAATAATAAATGAGACGATAAGATTCAACACGATGACCCTCTGAACCCCAAAACCCACCAGCTAGATTGAAACAATTTCTTTAAATAATCGCCAAAACGACACCGCTTATCACAGCCAGAGCTTATAAAAAAGTTATTATTGTCAGATTTCCATCTTTCCGACAGTCCTTGAACACATCAAGTGCGACGAACACTTCCGTCAGAAAAAGCAGACGAATCTGAGCCTAAAATTGTGATATTTCATCAAAATCATTTTATTCTACATGTTCTCATTTCAAATCTTGCGTCGAATAAACCAGATTGTGTAAAAACATTAAACTGTGAGCTCCTCAGCGCAACTATGAAGTCATGATTGATTCATCTGAGACCAACCAATGTGACAGGAATGAAAAAAACACCGAAACTGCTTCAGGTTCAGAGGTTAAACATGAATGTTTGTGAGGTCACATGACAACAGAAGCACTCACCTCAAACTCTTCCCAGAAGCCCTGTTTGACTTTGTCTGTGGCCTCCGCTAGTTTGCTCAGCTCTCTCACTCGACTTTCGATCTCTGCAGCGTTAATACGAGTAGTGTTCAGGGGCTGAGGAGGAGCAAGAGGAGAGCAGGAGTCACCACTGTTACCATCAGGAGAACTTTTAGCTTCACGGTAGAAATGAGTGAGACGGGCCTGAGAGGAACCTGTTTGAGCTGAAGCACGGTGCCCAGCGTCTCCACCATGGGGTTCTTCTTGTAGTGCTCGACCAGGTCGGTGAGGGAGTCAAACTTCTCCCCTCCGCCGACGTCGTACTTCAGGTCCATCTAAATATAAAGAGGCCACAGTCTCACCGTCACAAGACATCTACATGTAGTATGCACAACTATTGATCCATATTCCTTGGGGTGTTCACCTGGCAGCGGATCATGACGTGGGTGACTTTGGGTTTGCTGTCACTGCTCACGTCCGTCTTGTCATCTCCCGTCCGGACCGACAGAACGAAGTCCCCGGGGTGGCTCTGGCTCTCTCTCACCAGGAAGCTGCCGTTCTTCCCTTTCTCCGTCAGCAGCTTCTCGGCCTCCCGGCCCGACAAGTGTCCGTGGAACCATCTGGAGAAAAAGACACACCGGAGTCGAATTATGTCGTTGAAGAACGCTTTCTACACATCATGAAACAGTCTGTGCCATTGTCTGTTTACATCATGCTTCTTCAATACAGCATGATGTTCATTTAGTACATTATGGTCCATTTACAGTCACACAGACCATAAAGCAGGGGATGCTTTAGGGCGGGGCTACACTGTGATTGACAGGTCTCTACCAGAGACGTAGACGACGTCTCTACGTCAGCAGTTTGGGGTGATATTAAGATGTTTTGTTTTATTGCTCCCATAATAAAATGCCCCAAATACAGCTGGAGCAGGAATACATGTAGCTAAAACAACACAGAAATTTGAACATTAGTAATTAATAAATAGAATAATAAATATGGTGTCCACTCACCGCTCGGAGGTGGGGTCGGCACAGTTGAGCGGATACTTGAGCTCGATGACGTCTCCGTTCTTCTCCTTCAGCTGCCCGTGATGCTCCATGTAATACTGCACCAGCTCCGCCAGCGTGGCAAACTTCTCCCCACCGTACAGGTCGTAGTAGTCGCCTGTGTTCTGGATCTTGATGTGGGTGACGGCTCCATTTCGCCTGCAGAAGGAAAAAAAATATATAATCATTTAGGGAAGCGCTGTCATCACAAACAAATCAAAAATCAAACTACTATGTAAAATATCTTCTCACTTCTTTTCTTTGTCTTACGAGACTTTAAACTTAATATATTTGGGTAATAAACTGACAAAAACCAGCAACATGACATCATCATGTTGCGCTTCATCAATTCTATTCTTCACATGACATTTATTTTAGACCGATTGATTGACTGATCAAGAAAATGATCCCATCATGCGTTATGATTAATATGACCAAAATGTAGAATTAAAAACACAGTCTCCAACAACATGGCTGCCATCTCCGTTATTTAAAAGAAGTGAAAGACTTGAAGAAATAAAGGTGCTTTTTTGTGACACAAACCCAAAAAAACTGGCGGCATAAACTGAGATGAGTCATAGTGAGTGAGTGACCACCAGCAGCGCAGAAAATAGAAAAAGGAGAAGTTGAGGCAGATCTGAAGCTCAGCAGCACGAAACCCTCAACGACTTCTGGTTTAGTCTGAATGAGCACAGAGGGAGACACAGAGGGAGACACAGAGGGAGACACAGAGGGAGACACAGAGGGAGACAGACAGAGACAGAGGACGGGTCTCCGTCTCCCCCAGCGGAGCGTGACTTGTTTTGTTTCCATATGAAGTAAACATGGTGAGATGAGAGACCGTGCAGCGAAAATAAGAGACTGAGACACAAATAACTCTGGCTGCATCAGCTGAACGGAGTTAATGATACGTCATCTTAAAAAATGTGAGACTCGACCCCGAGATGAAACCACAAACTCTTTTTTTATTAGTAAAAGACTTCCTTCTCTGGATAACACGCCATCATTCCACACAGTTCATGCGTCAGACGGAGCAGGATTATGAATGCTGGATTATATTCCAGCATCATTTGATTTTTCAGGCCCTGAAAACACAACACCGGCTCCTCATATAATCCTTTAAAGTCGTCATGAAACATGTGAGAGCAAACAATTGTCCGTTCACACATCCAGAGAGTCACTATCATTCTGTGGAGTCATGTCTGAGTCCACCAGATAAATGATATTTACTCTCACTTTAGCTGTTCTGATGTGAAACATCTGGCTCGTCAGCTGCTCCATGTCCACCAGCTAGTCGCTAACTAAGTCTGTGTGTCTGTTCAGTGCTGAGCAGGTAGTGTACACTGGCTTTATGTAGTTGATCCATTCTTATTATAAACATATTGATTACTGCAGCATTAAGTAAGATAGACTAAAAGCAAAGTAGGTGTAATTTAACATTCAATTTAAAGGTCATAATGTTGTTCACACAAATATTAATAACTAACTTATGGATGAAACATTTCATTTGTCTGATCCTCAGCGTATCATAGCAACATATCGGACCATTTTGTTGCATGTTTACAAACGTTATTGATGTAAAACAAACATTTATCACCTGGATGTATTTGTTGTCCAGACGTAGAGCCTGTTTTATGACCTCTTTGTTTACATTTAGATCCCCAATCACACCTTTAAAACCCTTTACATTATAATATTTACTCAATGAAGGACTGTTTTATCTGAAACTTATTACGCTTCGTTTTAAAAAAGATATTGGTAACAATAAACCATGAAATCACCACATCTACATGTACACTTAAAGGCAACAATACTTTCAAAATAAGAGGACCCAACGTAAACGCAATACTCTTATCTTAGGTGGTGGTTCTTTCATTTCAACCGTGCTTCCCCACCAGAAAGTGTATTTTTAAACCGCTGACACAGTGTCACACTGTATCCTGTAGTGTGTGCATCACTCACCGTACTGAGAGGGTAAAGTCTCCCGGATTACTCTTACTGGGTCGGGCTAAAAAGCTCCCATCCACTCCTCGAGTCAGCAGGAGGTTTTCAGCCTCCACTCCTGTGATGTTGGGGTGAAACCACCTGAAAGAGAGAGGAGGAAAAACACCGATCAGCCTCGGTGTGACGAGCACAGCTGCTTTCACTTCTATGAATAACACGTTTGCTCCTTTTTCATCTGAAAACAATTGATGGATGCAAAAACTGGAGCTGCACCATAACTTCACCTTTCAGCTGAAATACAACATATAAAACATAGAACAAACATGAATCATATCACATGTGCTTTTCTGTCTTTTTAAGTACTGTGGTTCTTTTGAACAGAACTATCTTAAGACTTTTCTCTCTCATTCTTCCCCCCCCAACACTGTTTGTCTGTTTGGTTCATAATATCTGCGTGTCATCCTCCAACACACTCAGCCAGTGTTTCCTTCATCACTGTCCTCGCACTGCATGTCGTCTCCATCTCTGTGTGGAACATAGTACCCGTCAGTGTTGTGTGTACAAATAGTCCGACCTCTTTCCACGTCTTCAGTACTTGCTTCTTCATTCTCTCTTACTACGTTCATCATTATGCACCAAAATACCACAGAAAATGTCCTTGTATGTGAAAACCTACATGGCAATAAAGCTGATTCTGATTCATGGGGCTGAGGAGGTTTAGTAATCTATAATTTATAATTTACTTTAATGATATGTTTGTGCATCTAGCTAACATTTTCAGTCTGCTTCTCCATTGTAGTTGTACTACTGGAATTACTTTCTAATGTGTATATATGACAGATAGTAATAGTGTTTACCAGTGGTGGACAAAGTACTCTTCCCTGAAATACAAATTAGCAGTACCACAGAGTAGAAATACTCTATTATAAGTAAAAAATCCTGCATTCAAGACTTTACTTGCGTAAAAGAACAGATGTATTAGCATTAACATATACTTAAAATAAGGAAAGGTAAAATCACTCATCATGCATAATGGCCCATCCCATAATCATATACATTATATGACTGGATTATAATCATTGACGCATGAATATGTTTAATAATAAATAACGTTTTTCTTAACCTATAATAATACCAAATGCTTTATTTGTTGATTATATTTTGCATCATGAATCGAAGTAACAAATAACTTAAATTCACAAATAAAAGTAGAGAAGTGAAAAGTAAAACACTACCTCTGAATTTGTAGTAGAGTACAACTATGAAGTACCTTAAAGTAAACCTTTAAGTACCTTAAATACAGTATTAGTTACATTTCTACAACAGCTTGTGTGTGAAAACCTGCTGATTCTTTATTACTATTACTTATAAACTAGTATTTCCTTTCATTATGAGTGTGTGCTTTATTTACCTAATATTATCATTGTGGTTCTCCATAATGTAACTACTACTAGCGTTACTGTAGATCTACTCAGTGACAGATAGTAACGGTGTTTACTAACCTCAACATCTAACTTACCGGTGTGTGCTATAAATGAAGCGCTCTCTAGCTAACTAGCTATTCAGTTGTTGTTGTTTTTCCAGAACCGTCTACACACACAGAGCTTGTTTACAAACACAATCAGCTGAGTTTAGTTAAGAGTTAGCTTCCTCTGCTAACATAACTAGCAGACATTGTTGTCCTCTTACCTCCGAGATGTCATCTTTTTCTCGTCCCTCCTCACTTCCTCGCTGGCAGTTAGCAGTTAGCTACAATTAGCTAGGCTAACGTTTTCCAAACCGTTTCCGCTTCGATCACAGAATAAAAGTGCTTCATCGGTTTCACACCCGGTTTTTAAAACGGGCACCGAAATCCAGGCATGGAAACCAATTGTTTTTGTATGCGTTACAAAAAAAAAAAAAAGTCTCTTTTAGGCCTCGGCCTCGGAGACTTCACAGCAAAGTCGCTGATTGGGACGTCACCAAACATGCGACAAAATAGAGGGGCGCGCGGATTGTTTCGCCGTTCTTCGCTGCCGCTTTTCCGTTTTTTTAAATAAAGCACACAGTTCGGCCAGTCCGGCAAACAGCGAGGCACAAATTAAAGAGTCCTATCACTTTCTCTTTGCGCATGCTCAGTGGCAGCATATTTTATGATTCCAGCGGCACGAGCGTTAGCGTCTACGAGAGGTTTTTGCCGTGGTAGCGTTTCAGGGAGGTTTTTGCCGCGCTAGCGTCAACAAACACAACATTCCGCAGCCCACCGCGGATACCGCACAAATCACGTGGTCTAAATGTTAAAATAAATATCCAAGCTGGAAAAAAAACGGAATACTCTTATTTAGGATGTAAACTCTTTTCGCGGAAGATATACTTAATGTTTTACTAAAGTAAAAGTAGTGATACCGCTGTAGAAATACAAGTAAAATAGGATTGAAACACAAAAAAGTAAGGTATCAAAATATACCTTAAGTATGACAAGTAAAAGTTAATTTCTTTCAGAATGGCCAATTTCAGAACAATACATATTATATTATTGGATTAGGATTATTGATACATTGTTGTGTGCATCACTTCAATATTACAGCTGCTAAATGTGAGGAAATAATATCACAATATATTTGTTCATTGCTTTTTTTAAATTCTAAATCTGAATCAGGAAAGTGAGTAAAGTTTCTTATAAAACGTACAATATTCCAGTCTGAGATGCAGAGGAGTGGAAGTATAAACTAGCAGAAAATAGCGATAACAACTCAGGTAAAGTACAAGAACCTCAAATGTGTACTTAATTAAGTAGGCTACAGTACCAAAGTCAGTGTACTTAGTTACTTTCCATCACTGTTTTTCTGTATGAATGATTTAATACAAGGAGTCATCATAGAAAGAAAACATAATAACTCATATTATTGAGAAAAAATGAGCCAGTTGTTTTGTTTTGTTTTAGCTTTTCTTTATTTTTTATACTATAAGTACAAGACATCCTGATCCACACTCCATACCAGCTGGTGGCGGTAATGCTCCAATTCATTGTTTGCCAACCGCCAATAAACCTCAAAAACAAAGAAGAAGAAGCAGCTTCATTTTGACAAGTATTTTGCGCCGCGTACTCTCTCAAATTTGGCCCTCGTCGGTTCCCGTTTAAGCCTGTACGTGGCAGTCAGAGAGCAGTGTACACAGCAGCCGAGGCTGGTGCGGCTCCTACAGACTGACATCCTGCACTTCTTATAGGATACACTGAAGCGAGGACACTCCAAACAACATCCCAAGACTTTTGTTGTGACAGCCTGCTATATAAAACATTAATTCAACAACCATGTTTACCGTGTCGGAGCTGGTGGTCCTGCTGGCCGTGCTTTCCGCCACCGCGTCCGGCTACTTCGTTAGCATAGACGCCCATGCCGATGAGTGCTTCTACGAGCGGGTCAACTCCGGCACAAAGATGGGCCTCATGTTCGAGGTGGCCGAAGGAGGCTTCCTGGACATCGATGTGGAGGTGGGAGGACTTCACCAAAATAATAAACTCACAACCTAACATGGAGAAATGTGGTTTTATTACTTAAAACATGATTGTGAGACTAAGGCCTGTGCTAACTAACGCTAGCTTCAGCTAACGTCTCTCTGCGTAACGTCAACCTAACTAGTTATCCAGGTTAAAGGCTATTAACTACATTAAATATTCTAATTTATATAGTATAGTATCTTTGTATTAGTCGGGCAGTTTTTTCTGTTAACAAGTGCGTTACAGTGTTCATTTAATTATTCATAAGGCTACAGGAAGTGCAACATTAGCATTATGCGGCTAAGTTATGCTAGCTATGTAGTCTACAAAATAACATCTTTTGACTTGTTTTGTGGAGACTTTGTTGTGGTTTCACGTGGAACTAAGAGCTAGTTGCATTAATTAATGCAGCAGTAATATTAAACTTTAATATATATATATATATATATATATATATATATATATATTTGATATATTACATATCTATACAAAATTATATATATCTATATAATGTGTATATAGAACTAAGTTCATCTGAGTGCTTTGTGTACACAGATGTTGCCGCCATATGGTACAGCAGTGCTATGGTGTTTGTCACGCAGCTGTTGTCTTTACACAGATATTGATATCTTTTTTGTGTGTTCTTCCCAGATAACGGGGCCCGATGGTAAGCAGATTTACAAGGGCGACAGGGAGTCCAGCGGGAAATACTCGGTGGCGGCACATATGGACGGAACCTACAAGTTCTGCTTCAGCAACAAGATGTCGACCATGACACCCAAGATCGTCATGTTCACGATTGACATCGGAGAGGCCCCCAAAGGCCAGGACATGGAGACAGAAGGTAGATAAAGCAGCATATGTCTGCGTACAAAAGAGAAATTAAGTAATACCATATCTCCTATACGTCAGCCAGCTTTTCCCCCAGATAGATCATGCAGAGTGTCTGTATTCTGCTGATCTTGTGTCATTGTTCTGTGATAGTTTGATTCACCTTTTTGACTTTATTTTGAACCCTCTGTTCCTCTTCGTAGGTGGTGACAGCTGGGATGGTAGGGCACAGGGCAATAGGCTTTTATGTTTGTGATGCACTGCAGAGTCTTCTCTAACCAGTGTTTCCATAGTTTAAACTAATAATGTGCATTTCTACAACACAGAGGAAGTTGTATTGTTTGTGAATGGCTTGACGATTTGCACAGTGAGAACATGTATGATCTATGAATGTCTCTGGTGATGGAACGGCATCACCTGCGACATGAGTCACAGTTGCAGAGTTGTTATGCATGTATTGCATACCTCCATGCATGTTTTATTCTTGGTGCACATCCACTGTGTTGTGGCCTGTTACTTAAGATGATGTTTGCCTGTTTCAGCCCACCAAAACAAGCTGGAGGAGATGATCAACGAGCTGGCAGTCGCTATGACGGCTGTGAAGCATGAGCAGGAGTACATGGAGGTTCGCGAGAGGATACACAGAGCGAGTGAGTCCAGAGCCAACTACAACATGTACGTCATTCTAATCGTTTGAATGGAAGTTCTAAACTGTCATCTTCTGTCTCTCTTCCAGTCAACGACAACACAAACAGCAGAGTGGTGCTGTGGTCGTTCTTTGAAGCTCTGGTTCTGGTGGCAATGACACTCGGACAGATTTACTACCTGAAGAGATTTTTTGAAGTACGGCGAGTGGTTTAGTGCGATGAAATTATCCCTCTGTGTCCTCCACTGATTTCTCCCAACACCAAGACAGTTATTTACACTCTGGAAACGAGACCGGCAGATTCGAGTAAAGCCTACATATGATTGGATGTCAGATGTTTTGTTCTCCTGTTACCTGTTTGTTTCCTTCTTTATAAATGTGATTAGTGTTTGTTTGGAACGAATGGCCAAAAGATTCTGGGATAGTCGGTTTATTAGTTTCTTTTTTTTAATTTTTAGGTTTGACAGATTTTCGTTGCCCACTATTGTTTGATAATTAGTAAGTGCAAATTCCTTGCCAGTCCAGTTTTGCCTTCGTGAATGACCGCAGGGCTCATCATTTTATGTAAAAGCAGTCGGATGAAAGACTTAAAAATGCACATAAATTGGTCGGCATGTGTGGAGTTTCCACATGAAAATGCAAAGATTTAGATGGGACCCGTCTCAAATGATAAAACACATACAAACATGAGAACAGAATGTTGGATTATGTTTAGAGATGCAAGAGTTTTTGTTTCCAGCCTCTAAGCCAAGTCAGACAATGTACTGGTGGATACGTGATATCTGTACGTTGTGTTCATGCTCTCAATCAACAAATTGCCCTCCTGGTGGATATATCTGAAGGATTTACACTGAAACCGATCTTTTAAGGGAAACCGTACGGCTTCTAGCTCCGTCTGTTGATTCACAGCGATCCATGCTGCGGGGGGGAAGGGGGGCGGGGCTTCAGTGCGATTCCCTACGTAGTTCAGAAACAGACGAGTGGTTTCTCGGCCTAAGAGTCAACAAGTTGATTTAACTTTTACACTTTAATTTGACGACTTCCACTTAGTAAGACCTGGAAGAGCCGAGGCGGAGGTTGATTTTAAACTGAACTAAGTGTAGAGGAATGCTGAAATACATGTTGATTGACGCTGGGTGGGGGCGGGGTGGGGGGGTCTGATGCGTGATGACTGCTGTGTGCTTTAGTTGCTTCTACTAGCGTTCCTGTGTTGGTTTAGGGGTTTTAAATTATGATTGTATACAGTTTTGAACAGTTTGTTTTTCCTGGAGCATATCCTGTGACATGCAACTGTTTGGATGAGGCCTTTCAAATGTCTTCTACTTGTTTATTTCCCCGTCGAGGTTAAAAATGAAAAATAACTCTCGTCCAAGGCAGTAGCTTCACATCTAGCACACAGCTGCAACATCACAAGTGTTGCATGTCGCTGAATATGTTCCAGTTTTGTATTAAAAACAATCTTCGGTGGGTAAACTGCTCTGTACACAGTCTCCTTTTTTGTGATTACACGCTACTAAATCTGATGAAATGGATCTGTACAAATGTAGAACAGTTGTCTGTGGAAAAAGCCCCAGGTTTCATAATAAAGCCCATATTCTGTACATTTACTTGGATGTCTTTAAGCAGGTTTGACTGAATCATGTAGTTCAGTGGTTTGTAAAGTGGGAGTATGTAGGACTATTTTCACTGTAGTCGTAATTATAATGTAATAATTAAATGTATTTATATACAGACACAGCACTTACAAAGTGCTTAACATGGTTGAACCAAGAACGAAAAATATATTCATGACTGCAATGAGATCAAATCTATGGAAGCCCATTTCTGCAGCAAAAAAAAAATTTGAAGTTAGACTTGATAATAAAAATGTCCCCATAGTCATGAGATAGAAAGTCGAAGTAATGATACTTCAACACAGTCAGAAGCAGCTCTTCATAGGTTACCCTACATGTGACATACATGTATTGTGGGTACAATGAAGACTACTTTAAACGTGGCTTTACAACACATGAAATACTTCACGTGGGATTGTGTAAACGCACCCTTGAAAGGATTTTAAGCTTTGAAGAAAGTTATTGTAATAACTTGTTTGATATTTGTCTTTGCTATTTTCTTTAATAGTTTGATCTTTGATAGAGTAATGTGGGTTTCTTAACCCTAAATTAAAAGGATTTAAGTTATAACAAATGTGCTTAAATATATTTTTACACTTATATGTACAATATTTTCCATACAATTTCAGACAATTACAACAATACAAAAAAATACACTACCCCAAAGTTGTATTTAAAAATAAAATAAAAAGCAGTGACTTTTTTGAATCTATTGCAGTAGAAAATAAAATACACGAAAAATAGAAATACATCGGTACGCGGAACGATACTGGGGACCGCGCTTCAGTTGCCGCCCGGGTTGAAAACATCAACGCACCCGGAAACCGGAACAGCGTGGAGGCGCAAGAGGAGACGCAGCCGAGCGGTGGCTAACAACGTTAGCATTAAACTCAGTCTAGTGTTCCACTCAACATGGATAACTCGACAGAAGGGACGTGGGACAGTTTACCGATTCAACTCACTGAAGGGATTCTACAAACGCTCGAGGAAGTGAAGTTCACGCACATGACACCTGTACAGGTAACTTTAAAATACCTCTCTTTAAACCCGCTTCTCTTTAACACCAATGTTCATCAAACACATCATTGATATATTATTGTTGCTTTTTCTTTACAGTCTGCTTGTATTCCGCTGTTCATGAGTAACAAAGATGTGGCTGCTGAGGCGGTAAGTGTAACTAAGTACTCTAACGTTACGTAGGTACCACTTTGAGGTACTTGTACATAACTTGAGTATTTCCATTTCATGCTGTAACATTAATGTGATGAACACATTCATGAATCGATAATTATAATCCAGTAATATGGTGTCTATGAATCTAAAATGTGCCATTCTGTACAATGACTTTTACTTCTAACAGAGTATTTTTACACCCTATAGTACAACAGTTAAACCAGACATACTGGTGGTACTACTAATTAACATGTGTATGAGCTATAACTAAGACCTAATAAATCAGTTAGATCAGTTATAAAGACATCAATGAATATAAGTTTTGAGTTGCCAGGTTGTCAACAATCCTCAAACACTGTATTAGCACTACAGCTACCAATGTTCCTTATTGATTAATCTAACAATTTTCTTAATGAATTGTCTATAAAATGTCAGAATGTGAGCGTGTTTTATTCAAGCAACAGTCCAAAATAAAGATATTCAGTTTTAATATAAATTACAGTGTGATACAGAAGTTGGAACGAGCTGTTTTTGGGCATTTCTACTTCAAAATGTGACGGTTAAATGAATCCTCTTTTGATTGATTGCTACTTGTCTTCTGTAAAACAGTTCCAGGACATGTGGAACTATTTCTTCATCATTTTCTGTCGTATCGTTGTAGGTGACCGGGAGCGGAAAGACGCTCGCTTTCGTGATTCCCATCATAGAGCTACTGCTGAAGAGGGACGAGAAGCTGAAGAAGATGCAGGTGAGGCCGAAGGCGACGCTCCAGATTTACATCCATCTTCCACTGAGAGTGACTCTGTCCAACGTGTAGAGGGGGGTATCGGGGCCATAAGGGGGATTCGAACACCCGGTTGAAGCTTTAAAGGTTGTTTTTTCTCCTGCAGGTTGGTGCTCTGGTGATCACGCCCACAAGAGAACTGGCCCTTCAGATCAGCGAAGTGATGGAGACGTTCCTTCAGAAGTTTCCACAGTTCACGTGAGTACAAAGTCACTCTGACCCGTTTGAATAGTTAAATATCTTAACTCAAGGTCCGCTTGCTGATTTCTTCCGGAGCTTTCAACCACGTCTCAGTTAGCTCAGTTGTCACGACTAAATATTCAGACGAATGTTTTTAGTTATTAAAATGCTTTTTGTACGTTTGTTTTTCAGGCAGATTTTGCTGATTGGTGGCACCAACCCGATAGACGATGTGGAGAAGTTCAAAGATAAAGGGTGAGATGTGAGGTGTTACTTAGGGGCTAGTAGAGTCTTTATGCTAAGCTAAGCTAACAGATTTAATTTTCTTATCAACGGACACACATGACAGTGGCGTCAATCTTCTCATCCATCCCAGATATTTAGAGGAAGAGTTCATTCGATTCATCGTTAAACAAATTAATCACGTCCACTAAATCAACCGAAATTCAAATTAAGAGTCCTGATGCCAAAACAAGATGTCCTTTAGTTAAATTACTTTTTAAAGAGGCGATGAGCAGGTAAGTGGCAGTGCCTAAAAAGGGTTAAATATGAGTGCTGATGCATTTTAATGTGAGGAGAGTTACAGGAAAGGAGACTTATCTCAACTTGTAGATCCAACAGAGACGAGAAGTCCACAGCTGATTCTGAGCGGAGATAGTTTATGATTCAACCAAACCTGCTCCAGATAATCCAGCTTCCTCTGTTAGACTTGTTTCTACGTGTGAAGACGTCCATGAACTGGACTCCTCTGTCTGTCCTCCATGCTGCCTTTGTTAGTTCTGTCCCCTTCCCCCGTCTCACAGGTGTGTCTGATGTATCTCCTCACCTTCATTTCCTGTCACCGTTGAAAAGGGATATTCTGCACCTTTTTATTTTACCGCTTTCTGCTACAAGCGTACCTCTCAAAAATGTCAAACTATTGCTGTAAAAACAAAACTACGGACACGTTTGCATCTCCGTCGACTTCAAGACGCAGGGCATGCTGGGAAACGCCTGGCTGTCATCTGATCAGAGAGCTGATTGGCTCTTAAAACACCACGTTTAGTAAAAACAATCCTCACTTCTGTGTCATTTTAATTTTGAAGGCGAGATTGTTGGCTGTGAGTCTCTTAAACCAGGCGACCAGGACGAGTGTGACGTGTGTGTGTGTGTGTGTGTGTGTTTCAGGGCGCACATTGTGATTGCGACACCGGGCCGTCTGGAGGACATGTTCAGGAGGAAGGCAGACGGTCTGGACTTGGCCAGCTCAGTGAGGAGTCTGGATGTTCTGGTTCTGGACGAGGCCGACCGACTGCTGGACATGGGTTTCGAGGCCAGGTGATGAAATGACGTCAGCGTGTCCAGATGAGTTTTAATCTTCCTTGAGACCTTTGTGCCGCTAACAGAGACTCTTTGTGTGTTTCCAGTCTGAACACCATCTTGGGTCACCTGCCCAAACAGAGACGGACGGGCTTGTTTTCAGCCACTCAGACTCAAGAGCTGGAGAAGCTGGTGAGGGCCGGCCTCAGGAACCCGGTACGCATCGCGGTGAAGGAGAAGGGCGTGGCGGCCTCCGCCATCGTCCAGAAAACACCATCCAGGCTCTGCAACTACTACACCGTGAGTCTCACACCGACCGCTTCACGTCAGTCCGGGAGGGAGGGGCCTATTATGATTAGTTTTATACTATTTTATACGTTATGCTGCATTATGTAGTAAAACAAGTTGTGCCTTTGCTTGTGACTTTGTGTATTAATCTGTTTCACATCAATCAGCCCCCAAAAATGTAATTGACACAAAAACAACTTTTTTTTTTTGGTCATTTCAGATTTGCAGAACGGAGAAGAAGTTCAACAACCTGGTGGCGTTTATACGGCAACACAAGCAGGAGAAGCATCTGATCTTCTTCAGGTATGTTGAATATTATATTAATCGTGTAGGTTGTGTTGACTCACTGTTTTTAATCCGGCCAAATCAAACTGTCAACACAGAACCAGCCATCGGGTTCGTCTACTAAAGTTAAAACAAAGAAGACGACCGCGTCCTCAAAACTGGTGACGCAGAGGAAGTCGGTGTTAATTTGTCTAATTATACTGAGAACCGAAAATATGGAGCTTTGCAGACGATGTGGTGTCTCTTTGAGCCACAGCAAGTAGCTAAGAACGGATCTTTTGTCAGCAGCTTTGTCAACAGCTTTCAGATTGTGAAACTGCTCAGACGAGAAGAATAAAACAGCTCAAATTGATGCGAGTGGACAGAAATCCAGTTGATCGACCTGCAGCCGGATCGTTAATCATTCAGGCAATAAATCAGCTGTGACTCCTGCAAACTGCACGATGAACAAACAGGCAGAAATATGGAACAAATCTAAAATGCGTCCTAATCCCGACATTATGCCGTCACGTTTGTTTTGTCAGATCTTTAGTCGTTGACCATGTCACTGTCTCCCCACCAGTACGTGTGCCTGTGTGGAGTACTTCGGTCGAGCTCTGGACACTCTGGTGAAGAAGGTCACCGTCTACTGCATCCACGGCAAGATGAAGAACAAACGCAACAAGATCTTTGCAGACTTTCGGGCCCTGAAAAAGTTTGTGTGCATGAAACCGCAAGAATGAATCAGTAACAAACGTTTGTGTCTATAAGTTATGTATCATCCGTTATGCTGCAGTGGGATCTTGGTGTGCACAGACGTCATGGCCAGAGGGATCGATATCCCCGATGTTAACTGGGTGCTGCAGTACGATCCTCCCAGCAGTGCCAGGTGAGGGAGAAACATTGAGTCTATATATATCTATCTATCTATATATATATTTATATCTATATATATATACTCTGTGTGGAAGTGACTGGGATCTCTTTTTATGTGTAAGACAACATTGCTTTCCTAACTTAACACATAATGTAACAAATGCCTAGAAATAAATATTTATTGTGGTTTTTATTTATCCTTATTTTGTCTCAGTGCGTTTGTGCATCGATGTGGACGTACAGCTCGTATCGGCAATCATGGCAACGCCCTCGTCTTCCTGCTGCCGATGGAGGAATCCTACGTCAACTTTCTGTCCATCAACCAGAAAGTGAGTTTGCAAAAACTTCTCTAAACCCATCAAGTCTACTCCTGGTTGGGTCCATATACTGCTGATGTTGTATTACCACAGAACGATGAATTGGTCTCTTGTCGTGTCCTCAGTGTCCCCTCCAGAAGATGGTCCTCACAGGTGAGGTTATGGACATGCTGCCTAAAGTGAAGGCCATGTCTCTGGCGGACCGAGCCATGTACGACCGCGGCATGAGAGCCTTCGTGTCGTTCGTCCAGGCCTACGCCAAACACGAGTGCAGCCTCATCTTCAGGCTCAAAGGTGAACAAAAAACAGCCACTTCACATCTTCTCTGCAGTTCTTCACGAAGCACAGATGTTAACCTTTCAGCCGCTGCACCTTTTCCTCCGTCTAGATCTGAACTTCGCCACCTTGGCCCGCGGCTTCGCCCTCCTCCGCATGCCCAAGATGCCCGAGCTGAAGGGGAAGAAGATTCCCGGTTTCACCAGGACGACGCTGGACACGGACACCATCCGCTACAAGGACAAGAACCGGGAGAATCAGAGGCAGAAGATGCTCGCCGAGCTGAAGGAGAAAGTGGTGACGCCCTTGCCTAAAAGGAACTACATCAAGAATAAACCTTGGTCCAAACAGAAGACCAAGAGCGAACGCAGGAAGAAGAGATCCGCCAAGAGGAAGCTCGAGGAGGTATTTCTTTCATTTTTAAATCTGCTGATGAGACATCAGATGTTTGGATTTATTCACGACTCCTCATTGTATTTGTTCCGTGTCTGCAGGGCTCTGACGTGGAGGACGAAGACGCGAAGGAGCTTTTAAAAGACACTCGCATCCTCAAGAGGCTGAAGAAAGGACAAATCACAGAGGAGGACTTTGAGAAGCAGATAACGAGCGGAATAAACTCCAAACACAGCGCAGGAGGAGCGTCGGGGGACGGGGAGCTGTGAGCAGCTGTGTTGCATTCAATTAAACGCTGAGACATTTGTTTACCTTGTGATAAAATGGATTTTTTTTATTGAATTATAAATAAAGCTTGATGAGCTCGTCGCTGATGGCAGACGGGGTGAGGACTCCCAGGTCGGTGAAGAGGAGTGTGATGAGGGACGGAGGCGTGTAGTCGATCATGGGATGCTCCTCCGACAGGTTCTTCACGGTCTTCAGCGTGTCCGCTTTGTACTGCGGAGGCCAGCAGAACGTTAGTAAAGAAAATAGAACAAAACAAAGGCATCCTCTGTCGTTTCTTACCTTAAATCTATCGGGCACGTCCTGTTGGTTGAGCGGGTAGATGCGGACGAATTTGAAGCTCTCTGCTACGACGTAGAAGGGCTTGTTGTGAGCTTTGGAGCACACGGCCGTCTGATACGTGCCGATCTGTAAACGGCAACGGTTAAACGTTCAGCTCTGTGTTTGCGTCTCGATCAGGAGTGGAAAGCAACCAAGGACAAGTTTGAGGTACTTGTATTTTATGAGAGTACTTCTACTTTATACTTTTACTCTGCTACATATCAGAGAAGTTATTTACTCCACCACATTTGTAGATGAATACATTGAAAACACCTCAAAAACATGAATTATTGAGTCTTATTTTCTGCCATTGAGATGATTTCAACTTGTTTGTGAGGTTCCTTCTACTCTAAAGCAGTGATCCCTTATTCTGTCTTTTTTTAAAGGGGACATATTATGAAAAACACACTTTTTCAGTACTTGTGCACAAACATCTGGATATCTGGAGTTCCTACCAACCCACAAACTGAAGTAAGACGAGTCAGTCAGGTTTGGATCTCCCTCCTTCGTCACATGCCGACTCATTAGAATATACCGCCCACGGCTTGAGAGCTAACGTTGCTGAAGTGCACCATATTTTTGGGGCGTTTTTAAATCGGCTAGTCTTAAAGAGACAGGTGCCAACACGGAGCGCTTTAGACTAAGGTTATATATACAGGGACGATTCAGACAGTATGTTTTTTTGGACATTAAAGCATGTAAACTAATCCTAAATACCAGTATGAACATGAGCATAATATAAGATTCACTCACTTATGTTTTTAAAGCAGGTTGTTTTCTATCATAAACAGGTTGAAATAATCCAGTAGTTTAATCTTTTAGAACTAAATAACTAATCTTGACTTTGATCAACTAACATTAAATATGTTACATATTAAAATACATTAACAACTTTTACTTTTGATATTTGAATTACATTTTCCTGATAATACTTCTGTACTTTTACTTAAAGCTACCACGGTGAACTGTCATTGTATGTTGATTCTGGCGCCCCCTGTGGACGTAAACGGCAGTGTTTCTGTGAGCGTGTTAAATATCCACAGCTGCCAGATTCCATTTAGAAAACCTCATTTTAGTGCAGCGGGTGGAACTTTACACACAGACTGGTATTCATACTTGATGAGCTTGTTTTGTGATAAAGGCTCCGGACGATTCACTGAAACTCACCTTGTTGATGATCCCTCCGCTCTCAACGACTCCCTCCGCTCCAACAATAACTAGGTCTACTTTCTCCAAGACATACCTGAGGGGAAAATATCAAAGAACACAAAGCTTTAAGGTCATGCTGATGAAAGTAAGACACTGATTTTGACTTCATGATAAATGTATTTACCCGACAGCTGCATCCAGGACCACTGTTACCGGGACGTTGAGCTTTCTCAGGGCGTCCGCCATCTCTCGCCTGCACGGAGAACGAAACAATCAATGAGTGTGTGAGAGAGACAGCGAGCGAGAGACAGACAGACGGACAGAGAGAGACAGACAGAGCGCGTGTGTGTGTCCCTTCACAATAAAACAGTTTCCTGTTGGTGTTCGCTCACCCGGCTGAGTCGGGCTGTGACTCCGTCACGTACACAGAGAAGCGTTTCTTCTCGGCTGCAGCTTTTTCAAGCACCCGGAGGACGACTCTGGAGTACGAGTGAGTGAGGATTTTCTGACAGGAACATTTAAAAACATCAGCCACCGCCTTAAAGGGCCAGCGCGTAAGATTTAGTGCCATCTAGTGGTGAGGCAGAGGTCTGCGCTCTCCGAGTGAAACCTAATAAATAAATAAAGCTGTGGCGACATTCCCAGAATTAAATACTGTATAATAGTTCTTCATTGAATACAAATTCTCCTTCAACCAGGACTGAAATCTTAAGGATTCCCACTTTGAGTAAAAGTAGAAACACTGCATTAAATAAAACACTCACAGCTCCGTCTTTGATGAAGGTGTGACAGAGTTTAGCCACTTTGTTCCTGGACATCGAGATCTTCTCTAGAAAAAGTTCTCCTCTCTCCTCCATCACCTTCTTACAGCGAGACAGATCCTGAAAGACAGAGAGACAAAAGTTAAGAGTTTGTCTCGTGATTACGAGACAAACTCTCGTTGGTTCTCCTTTCATCTCGGATCACTCATCATTTGCCTGGATTTCCTCCAGGGAGGAGTTTTGTGATAAAACCCGTTTAATTTGGCCGACTCAAACTACTGAAGCTGCACGTTGTCCGCTCACCTCGTGCTCCAGCGATGTGAGACTTATGAAGCGCAGGAAGAGCTCTCCTCCAGAGGACACGGCCACAGACGAGTCCACTCCGGTCAGGCAGTCTGTGGCCGACGTCAGGCTCTCCCTCAGGCCCTGGATGGTCTCACCTGAAGGGGGACAGCTGGTCAGATAAGAGGTCCTAGTTTACCAGGAACACAGGATACTTCTAAATGTTGTACTTTATACTGTATTACATCTCAGAGGAACATATTGTACATTTTACTGTACTACATCTCAGAGGTACATATTGTACTTTTTACTGTACTACATCTCAGAGGTACATATTGTACTTTTTACTGTACTACTTCTCAGAGGTAAATATTGTACGTTCACTGTACTACATCTCAGAGGTACATATTGTACTTTCACTGTACTACATCTCAGAGGTAAATATTGTACTTTCACTGTACTACATCTCAGAGGTACATATTGTACTTTCACTGTACTACATCTCAGAGGTACATATTGGATGATGGGTGAATGAACACACACCTTTGTCTCTCTTGAGGAACTCCAGCAGAGTGCGGATAGCCGCCACAGCGGAGGCCATGTCCGGGTCTGTCCTCATCTGAGCCCTGAAATACTCCACCAGCTCTGACCGGGACACAAGCAACACGGTTCATGTTTAATTACACCAACATTCAAAATATGAAAGAAAAGGGGAAAACGTGAAACAAACGTACCTTCTTCATTCATCCTGACACCTACACGAGAGCCTAAAAGCTGCACTCTTTAGTGTGAAAACAAAATAATGTTTACTGAATTCAATCAGACCCAAATATTTTGGCACATGCCAAATACTCTGCTGACTCTGTGTTCCTGCAGCCTTCGTTTGAATCAAATTATACACAAAAAAAAAAAACAACAATGTCAGCTACACTTTTCTGAAAGCTGCCTGAGAATAATCCTCAGTCTGTGTAGAAAGTTGTATTGTCACTATTCTCCGAGTTGCAGTGCGTTACGAGCTGAGAGCTGCGTGTTGACGTGTCGCGGAGAGATGACGTAGGACGTTTTTTTCCATGCTGAACGTCGTGCCCTCTTCGGGTGCTGTCGGAAATATTGGTATTCATTTACATTTTGGTGAAAATATTTAGGCTAAAATTGTTTATACTTGTGTCTTTTGTCATTTAGATGAGGAAACACTTTTACTATTATTATTATTATTATTATTATTATTATTATTAATTGTAATAATAATTATTATTATTATCATTGCAATTGTTACTATTATTATTATCTTTGAATTTTCACTCTTCTACTTTGTATTGCAACTGCTACACAGTAAATACAGTTTTGTCGTATTTATTTTGGGTAGATATCAGGCAGATATGCAGTTTTATGAGTTTTATTAATAAGAAAAAGGTAAAACACTTTAAGTCCCCCTACTTAGCATTTAGTAGCATAAAATAAACATTGAATTAAATACCCATGATAATGTAGTTGTAAGCAGAAGTGGTTTTATTAATGTATCTGTCAATAACTCCTCCTGTGGGCATCCGTAAATGGAGGCTGCTGGACTAACATATAATAAACGACAAGTCTGTAAAACACACATGAAATAATATATATTTCCCAACATCAGGGGCCTAAGAAGTGAAAGGTGCAGAGTGGCTTCATAGCTAGACAAGATCTGTGGGAGGTATAATACTTTTATTTATATATATATATATTTAGTCTTATTCTCCAGTAAGTCACGCATTATTCTTTTTATAAAATTGTTTACCTTGTGATTTAAATCTCACAAGGTCCTCCATCTTCCCTCAATCAGAAATCATCTGACCTGCAACTTAATATAGACAGGAAATAGTCACAAAGCCTAAATTAATTCAACCATATGTTATGTTTTTGTTTAGTGTTTAGGAGTCTCAAATATGCACTCTAAATCCATACAAGTAATGTATCACAAAAATATCTCTCCTAATGTGTACCGTTAATAATTGTATTATTATGCTCATTCCATCACACGCTTCAAGCTTATATTTAGATCATAATATATGATATTAAATATTAATATTTAACTTCCCCCATTATGCCAAAAAATCCTGGTTAGAAGCCGTTATTCCTCTAATTACACAACTTTTGGTACACGGAGATGACTTGACTCTAATGAACCAACTCTGCAGTACACTAGTAAATTTGAATCTTTTACGTTTCTTAAAGGGCCAGTGTGTAGAGTTTGGCGACATCTAGTGGTGAGGTTGCAGATTGCAACCAACCAAAGCTTCTCCCGTATGCCAAGGAAAGGCCAAGACAGCTACTGGACAAAGATGGAGGAGCGCTCAAAATAAAAACAATGCAAGAGAAGCCTGGAGAGGACTGAAGATAATCTCAGGTCACCGCAAAAGAGACTGGGACTGGGACAAATAAACTGAATATGGTCTTTAAACAGATATGATTCTGCTATTCCTCACAGTTATTTTAATAAACACGGTTATTTGGGTCGTGTCACATCCTTTCTGACATCTTACACATGAAGACAGGTGAGATTTAGGCCTTTCCAATGAGAATATAACACTATAAGCCTTCAAGACAAGGCCCTGAGAAAGATCTTTCATAGGATTACAGCAAATAAACAAATGCTGTGTTTACTGTATTTAAAGATAGTGTAGGCCATAACTTTAGTCTACATGCTTATTTGTGCTTGAACTAATATTTACAAAACACAAGTTTGGTTCAGTATATATAGATAGATAGATAGATAGATATAAACTTTATTCATCCCCAGGGGGAAATTAGATTGTAGCAGCAGCAATTTACAGAGTAAAATACAACGTGGAATGCACAATATATACAGTACAATAAAATAACAGAGCAGATATTGAATTTGAAGGAATAGATGAATAAAAAATAAGATAAAATAGAATAAAAAATAGAAATGCACAGTGTATACAATGAATAGAGTGGTATTAATTAAATTAACAACTAGTAAACTAAACAAACTGGACAGTAGAGCAAGGATCACCAACAACAAGCAACAACCGTGTAGCGTTGTTGTAGTAATGTGAAGGACGATGATCTGGCCCGAGGTGTTTTATTATAAAGTCTAATGGCAGAGGGCAGGAATGTTCTCCTGTATCTGTCCTTGACAGTGGAGCTGGATGAGTCTGTTGGAGAAAGTGCTCCGCTGTCCCTGCAGTAGGTGGTGGAGAGGGTGGTCCGGGTTATCACCTGAAGAGGCAACAACGAGGAGGTTCACAACCCGAAAGTCTGGAGCTGTGCTGTAATTGTATTGAGACATAATAAGCTTTGGGATTTTAGACTCTATTTATTGTTAACATCATACGTCTCCTGCTGCGTTAATCACAATATTTTCCATTCAGAAAGATATTAAGTCATTTGTTTAGCAAAAAAGGCCAACACACTCACCAGCTCCAGCCTCTAAAATATGATAATTTGCTTTATATAATTTTAAATGTAATATCTCTGGGTTTTGTTGGGACAAAGCAAGTCATTGACGATGTTATAATTGGATCTGGAAAAATTGAATGGCTGGATGATTTTTTTTTTTACCTAAATAAAGCATCTAAGCCTGAAGTTTCACCCCAAACTTCTTGTAGTTTTTAGTTCTTTGTTCTCCTGCAGACACACAGCAGGGAGACAGAACTGCAGCTGCAGCTCCACCTCTCTCTCTCTCACTGTGCTCTATCAGTCCGCGCAGGCGCAGTAGCTCCTCTGTGCGCTCTGTACTGTTTGCATTGTGTCTGAACTGCCGGCGAGCTTTTAAAAAAAAAAATATTATACCAAACCGCGGCAACAATGTCGGGCAGGTCGGTCCGAGCGGAGACCCGGAGCAGGGCGAAAGATGACATCAAGAGGGTTATGGCCGCTATTGAGAAAGTACGAAAATGGTAAGAGTGGAAAAAGAAAAGAGGGCTTCGTTATCTAACAGCGAGGAGAAAAAAAAGGCTTCGGCTTGTTGGGGGAGGAGAGAGAGGGAAGGAGACGAGAGTGAGGGATGAAATTAAAGAATTTGGGAGATTCACGGCAGATGTACTTGCAGCTCAGGTGCACCGGGGCGCACTATAGTGCGGTGCACCGCCACAGCTCCGTCGTCTGGCTGCTGACATACAACATGTAGCCGTTTTTCCCTCTCTCTTAGCGGCTATAAACGGGTTGAACCCAGAAGCCATTTCGATGCAGTCACATGAAGCCATTGCTTGTAGCCGTTTGTTTGCGCGTGAAGCTCTAACGGCGGAGGGTGTTCTTTTTTTACCCCCTTCCGAAAACCTCCAAATAACTGTTGACTTGGAAACAATTTGACGACGGCGGAGTAGTTTAGTCCGTCTGGCAGTTTTAAATTAAGCGCTTTGAGTCGCCCTTTAGGTCTGATAGAGGAGGAAGGTGGGGGTTGGGAGAGAGGAAGTAGGCTAACTGAACACGTAGCGACTCGGTCCTAACGTTTAACACTAAAACACACTTTATACACCCGTATCGGTTCAATTATTCACACGTTTATCTCGAAGGTGTATTGATTTGTTCGATGTAGGTGCGTCACCCCGCCCGGGAGGGCAGAATTTATGTTTGTTTTTTTATCAGGCGGTTTAATCAAACGTCCCCAGGTCAAAGTCAGTAGAAGTTGGTGGTTTGAAAATAACGTTAATTTAACGGTTTTGTTTTTGAATTTGAAAATGAAAGACATCGTGGAATTTAATTTTAAGCTTTTGGGTACAAATATATTATTTTATACATTTTAATAAATATTGTTTGGGGGGTGTTGTACATTATTTTGTTTTCTGCTGCTGTAATATAAGCTAACACTGTATGCTACTAAACTAGCTTAAAAGTTATAGTATTTATGAACTCAAGAAGTACATTTTTAAGATAATTGTACTTTACGTGAGTATTCCATTATATACTACTTTATACTTTAATTTCACTACATTTCAGAGTACACATAAAATATATTGAAAGGAATATGAAGTGTTCAGTATCATAATATAACCTAGTTATCAATTGTTCCACCTCAACCAGCTAAATGTGATAATAATAAAACATTATATCCTATAGTATAACACTAAATACATTATAAGTGCTATTACTTTGATACTTCATGTACATTTAGCTAATCATACTTTTACTAAGGGACATTTTCAATGTAGGAATGAAGTAAATTAACTGAATACAACAGTTTATTGATTAATTGTCATTTCTTTAGGCCAAAGTTTCACCGTTTCTGACAGTTGATTGAACAAAATAAGACACTTTAATACGTGATGTCTTTTAAATCATTGAACGGACATTTAATGATGTCAAATTAGGCTTTTGGAACATTTTATAAACCAAAAGACTTCCTTACAAATATTTTAATTTCTGTTTAAGCCCTAATGATTTCCCCAATTACTCGTTTTGGTCTATAAAATGTCCGAATGTGATGCTTTTAAAAGTATTTTATCTGCTGTACTGTAATTGTATTGAGAGACATAATGAGCCTAGTCTATTTATTGTTAACATCATATGTCTCCTGCTGTGTTAATCACTATATTTTCCACTCACAGACAAATATTAAGTAATTTGTTTAGCAAAAAGGCCAAAACACTCACCAGCTCCAGCCTCTAAAATATGATAATTAGCTTTCTATTATTTTAAATTTAATATCTCTGAGTTTTGTTGGGACAATAAAGTAATGTGACGATGTTATAATTGGATCTGGGAAAATGAAATGTCTATTTTAACTAAGTGGTTAATTAAAGAAGTTATCAAGAGAATAAATAATTAGTTGCAGCCCGTACATTTAAACTATCGCTATGAGGGCTTTGTTTTGTTCTATTTCTACAGAAGTGTGAATAGTAATAATGTGATGTGCTTGTTTTCCTCTCCGACACAGGGAGAAGAAGTGGGTGACTGTTGGAGACACGTCCCTCCGCATCTACAAGTGGGTTCCAGTGACGGAGCCCAAATCAGATGACGTGAGTTCAGCCTCTTCATCACACTATGTGACCTCACACCTGAGCTTTATCTGAAACATGTTGAAGACAAATGAACATTCAACACTGTTCTTTTTCTCTCGTTGTAGAAAAACAAAAATAAGAAGAAGGGTAAAGATGAGAAATATGGCTCCGAGTTGACGACTCCAGAGAACAGCTCCTCTCCAGGGATGATGGACATGCACGGTACGCACCGAACGCCCTGAAGGACACGGACGCCGTGCTGTCATTCTGTATTTATATTATCAGCAACAAATCCCATGAAATGACCGAACGCTCATTGGTCTCATCTCCAGAGCCCATTGGTTCCTACTGAAGATATAACTCTTTAAATACACTGATATATAGTTTCAAAGAAAGATTCTGTCATTTCCTCAAACAGCAACAACAAACATGTTCATCTGTGGATTAATACACACTTGGAGCACACAAAATACTTGTTGGTATATACATTCAGTGTTGGTTTTAGACTTTTCATGGTATTTATAGACAAAACCTATTGAAAGAAAGGTAACTGAAGTGCCTCCATCTCTCTCTCTGTGTGTCTTCTAGATGACAACAGCAACCAGAGCTCCATCGCCGACTCGTCTCCGGTGAAACAGGAAAACAGTTGTAGCACCAGCCCGGCCCCGGAGCCCGCCGCCACGTCTCACCGCGACAGCAGCGAGGCGAAGACTGACCAGAGCCCCGACAGCAAGCAGGGTCAGACACCAGCACACACACACACACACACACACGTAACGTTACCACAGGTCTACTTTCTCTCTCAGTGGACGTCTAGCTGGTGGTAGTTCAGCAGCTGATCGGCCACTTCCTGTTTTTGTTTTGCCAGTAAAATCTCGCCTCAGTCAGGACCAACAGCATCACACTGAGCAAACGGGACGACTTCCTCTTATTTAAATACAGCTTCAACTTTCTTTCTCTGGTTTCCTCTAACAGCCCCAAAAACATGTTGGAAACTTAACATGTTGGTCTCACATCTTTCAACGCGACACAAGCTGTCAGATTAACGTAAAGGAAAAAAATCGACAATCATCATCTCTTGTGTAGCAACAAATTAAACCCAGTCAAATAAATAAAGAATGCAAATGGAAGTTTTTGAGATTTTTCTCAAGTCCAAAATCAAATCCCTCGTACAACCACTACAGTATCAGACAACCCGTCTACTTATATTGTCTATTCTGCCATTTATTCATTCATTCATTCCAACTGCATGAATGAATGAATAAATATCCAACGTGTGAGGAAATAGGACTTAAAGTGAAGCTGATAAAAGGAACCTTTTCATCTTACGTTTATCTTGTGATTATTCTCTTGATTCACAAAATGGAGAAATAAAATGCCCATTACTCCTGAAGGAAAAGGTTCTTGTCTTCAGTTTGGACTTTTGGTTCAACAAAATATGAATGACTACATCATTTTATCACATAGGACGGAGAAAACCAGCAGGATGTCACAGTGGATTATTTGTGTTTTTGCTTTAAAAATGATCTAACAATGAATTGTTTTCTGTAATTCTTTCAATGAGTCCCATCTAAATATATTGTGTTGTGACACTTTTGCACTGTCAAATATTTTAAGATAAGCAGCAGAATTTACTATCTGATCAACTGTTGGGTTTAGAAAATGTAAGAATATTTGAGTCTCTCTGGCTGACATGCAGTACCCCCTCACCACCACACGGGGTCACTACCGTGTCAGACAACACGTCACCTCTGTGATCTCTTTACTAACATCCTGTATGTTCCCCTCCTCAGCTAAGACACCCCCGTCATCAGAGACCTCAGAGAGAGCACAGAGTGCCAAGAGAGACAGTCTGTCCTCGGGGGACAAGGACTCTTCAGACAGCAAAGCCACTCAGGTAACAACAACACTTCACACACACTCCCGACCCCCTGGGTCTGTTGTTCAAGTGGACCGTTAAACTGTCAGTTCTAACTCAATGTTGTCTTTCTTGAAAAATGCACAAAAAACACCCGTCGAAACTATTGACTGAAGTTTGGAACAGCAGCAGTAAACAGGATGTTATTATTACTGGGAAACAGAGATGTGCAGCGAGAACGCTAACGCTAAGCTAACATTCAGCTACGTCTGGGAAAACGTACACGCGGATCACCAAAGAGGCTCGTTAAGGTCCACATGGCTCCATGCAGCAGATCAGTGAGAGTTCACAGGGTGGAACAGTAATTAACCTGGATTTAGGTCCCAACGATGACATGTTGGGTCCTTTAAAAGTCGTTTAATTTAGTGTTTAAGAAGCTGTGGGAACCCAGATTAAATGGTCCTTACATGATGCATATGCAGTCGTGGAAATGGACTTGATCTAGTGGAGATTGTACAAACTGTACTCTAGTTTTCACAAAAGAAGTGTGTATTAATATTATTATAATATTTATTATGTTTTCTTTATTTTCCCTGTAGGACCAAGAGGAGGAGGCCCCGCCCACCAAGAAAAGCAAAGCGGAGTCTTCGTCTCAGGACTTTGAGGAGAGTTAAATGTTTGGGGTCGTTCCTCTCCTTCACCCTCCCTCCCTCCCTCTGCACCTCCCTCCATTAACTCTAGATAAATTAGGGCTAATGGATCCCCCCCCCACCATCACACTCCTCTGCCACAATATTACCTCTATTCGCTGGTCCCCCTTTGTGCTTCCTTCCAGTTCTCCACACTTCTTCTACCACCAATGCCAAGAGAAGCTCCCCTTTGTGACCAGGTGTGTGTGTGTGTGTGTGTGTGGGGGGGGGGCAGGGGGGTCAGCCACCAAACCCTGACCTGCATCTGTGACCAGAGAGAGTCAACACTGGGGATCTGAGGTCGATCCCGGCCGCTGCTCTGAGAGCGTTTGTAAAACGTTTCCCTGGTTTAGCTCAGGACACCCATGAGGCTAACCTGGTCTCAGATCAGCGGCGGGGGGGGGGGGGGACCTCAGCCCTAAAACGACCCCGTCACTTCAGCCCTCCCGATCCGCCTCCTGTTAGTCTGATGTTCTATATTTGTTTAGGAAACGTTTAGGGTTTTGTTCTCAGGAGGGTCAATGCACTGTTATGGTTATGTCACAATCGATCACAGATAGATTTTTGCTGCTGTAGTGGAAGTCTTTTTTCTCTATCCATGAAGAGTTCTCCATTCACATGTTTGTTTTTTATTTTTAAAGTTAGTTTGTGGTTCGTAGAAGAAGAAGAAGACGGTACTGGTCAACGTGAACTCTTGGATAAGTAGTGACGACAGGCGTCGGTAGCGTAGCTCCTGAAGCTGTGCCTTGAGTTGCTACGTTTCAGGTCAAGCAGGAATTTAAACTTTGGTGCCATGTTTTGTTTTGTTTGCCTTATAATCATCACTAATTAGTATTCTCCAATATTTATAATCAACTGCAACGCTTTTTATTTGAAGGGATAGTTCAACATTTCTCGACACCACTCTGGTGTCGTTAGCTTAGCTTAGCATAGAGACTGGAAACAAAGGGAAAAGGCTAGCCTGGCTCTGTCCAAAGGAACCCCCCAAAAAACAGCTCCTAACTTTCTGTTTTTATACGGATTAAACACACGCGACACAATGTTTTAATGAGTCAGCCTTTAATTAGCTGTTTCTGACTTGATGCTAAGCTATGCTAACCATCCCATGGCTGTAGCGTCATGAAACCCCCCCCCCCCCCCCCCTCTTCCCCAAAACCTGCCGAGCTATCCCTTTTTAGAAACAGCTGGAGACTGGAATTTGAACACTACCCAGAAGAACTTTTACTTTCTGGACATTTTAAATGTCTTCAAACCTCGTAACTCAAAGTTCTCCCTCGCTGGTTTGTTTCTACTTCCGGTGGCTTTTGATTCGTTTCCCTCCTGAAGTAGAACCCGCCCAGTGACGGGGACCGGTTTCCCCCGTCTGGTCCACCATCATGGCGTCTCATCTCTATGTATCACTACTTCTCTCTGACAGAAGAGTCTTTCAGCTCATTGGTTCTGATCCTCCTTCAAGGTGCTGTCTGCCGGCTGAATCGTGTGGCATCGAGCGCCCGGTGTTTGTGCAGATTTGTGCAATTTACCTGAACTTTATATCCATGTATATTTATATATATATGCATGTATATACAGTGCAGATTCAGACCTGTGACCTCTAATGTACATCCTCACCCATGTTAGACTGAGTTTCATCACTATTAACTCGTGAAGATGGAGTGAAACCAATGACTTCATGACACAACAGGGGCTATTAAGAAGTACTTTTACGACGCAGAATTACTTGATCCGATTTCAGAGAATCAGCATTCACGTGGATGGAGAGAAAAGAAATAATAAACACAAAACTGTCTCGGTTCAGAGGATGGATTAGCATATACCTCATTCCCAGTCCAGCAGCGCTGGAACTTAAAATGCTATTGTATCGACATTAACAGTTATTAAAAAGCATTATGTACACTCGGTTTAAAAAAGAAAAGAATAAAGATCTCACTTACGTCGTAGCTTTCACCTGATTGAGCCGATTGCTTATAGTTTGCTCATAACTCTTTAAAAAAAACAAAAAAGAGCCGTGAGATGTTAAATCTTGTATTTTTTTTTCTTTTTTTTTTCTCTTGGGACCATTTTGTTTCTCTTTAGATCTTTGTACAGATTTATGGTTTGGTTTGACTTATTTATTCCATCAGTAGTGCTCGGTTTTTATCATGTCCAATGGTTTGTTTTCTTAATAAAATTCACAAAAGTTGTTTGTTTGTGTTCAGTGTTTGATAGTAGGTTGCAGAAACAGGGAAGTTGATGCTGCCGTTAGTCACAGACTCTTTCAATTTAAGAACATTTTATTTATAAAGTTTCATATGTGTGTATAAATATATGTATGTATATTGTGGTATTAGTACTTCTTCCACCACAGCTGCTGCTGCTAGAGCGACAAAAGGAAACGTAAACACAAGCTTGTTTCTTAGTATTTCTATTGTTCTGCTCAGGAGTACACAGCACATAGAAAACAGTTTACACCACGTCAACATCTGTCAAATAGTTTAGAAACCATTCCCTACATGGTGCCTGAAATAGTTACATATATAAAACATGACACTAATAATTAGACGCATCACTTAAAAAGTACACAATGTTTTAAAGTCTTTACAAATGGGCTGTTTCTCTTCTCCGTATACAACGTGGATCTTATCAACAGGGCAGAAAAATAAAATGTGGTACACAGAAAGCTATCGTTGGTCTCATGGCACTGTGTACACATCTATCAGAAGGAAGCCTCCGATTAGTATTTACAAAGACTCGTGTCAACGGTTAGTCACATCAGGTATTATATAATACACTGTTACACTAGAAGATTCAATATGATCCAAATACTGTGCTTAAGAACGAGAGGGGTCAAATACACGTCGCTATAGTACACGGTTGATTTAAAGGAAGGGTTCGACATTTTAGGGAAATACGCTTGTTTGCTTCCTGACAGTCAGATGAGATGATCGGTGACACTAATATAGTCCGTTAATTATTCATAGATCTATCAGTGCACTCAAACTCAGGATTAAGTAGAAATCGATGCTGCAGAGCCAGAAATATGGTGCCTGGAACGTGGTGCCTACATTACCCACAATGCAACTAGACTTCCGACAGGAGATTTGCGTGCGATACGCTAGCGGTGGCTAATGTAGCCTGGAGTCGCTAGCCTAAAGTAGTTCTTACTTTTTTCTAACTCCACACTATGTTTTTTTTGTTTTATTTTATTTTCAAACTTTAAACCACGCTGACTCAAGTGACATCACTTGAGTCAATTTATCAGACTCAATGCTGCTAGACACTAAAAGGCCGCATTGAACTTTTTTTTTTACACCTTTTTTGCTCAAAACTGGTTGAGTTAAAAGTATAAGATGACCGTCACACCGCTATGTGTTGCCAGAAACGTGTCGCAACACAAAAACTTTGTTTTTCTAGCAATTTTTAGCATAAAAGTAACAAATTTACCACTTCCTTCCTGTTTTGGTGCTGGTGAATGTGGTCAACAGTGTGAAAATGGCAAATATTGACAAAAAGTTTGACATAAGCGGTATTTAATTACAACTATATCGAACTTAAAAGCACAGTAGCGACAAGAGCTAAGAACTAGCAGTTTTCTCCCCGTTTAAAGACCTTGTGCTAAGCTAAGCTAACCTGCTCCGACTAGCTTAATATTCAGCGTACACACACGTGAATGGTGTCGATCTTCTCATCTAACTCTCCGCCAGAAAGCAAGAAGTCGCGTATTTCCCAAAACGTGAGACATCGTCTTTAAAGAGGACACTATGAAACGGGACCGCACGGAATAATCTGCACAACCTTTACGATAAAAATCCCTTTTCTTTAGAAGTTAGTTTGTTTTACTGCTGAATCTTTTAAAGTGGACAGTGCAAACCTAAGTTAGTAGAGCTTCTGTAGTTTCTATCTGGTGAGTTTTCATCCCGTCACTTAAAGCCAACCTGTACTACAGTAGTCCCAGTACAGACTACACACCTTTACATCAGCGCTAGCTTATGTCCTGTAGGAAAAACAAATCACTGGTTAGTGAAAGATCAGACAATAAATAACAAAACTTCATCATGAACTACAACGAATCCTCGAGGATATCAACCTGCATGATGATTTATGGAAAAGTGTTCATTTAGTAGCTGCTCCGGAGCTTTTGATCGAGCTGTCATGCAAATGCAGATCAACTTTAAATCTTAGATTTTACACCGACAGACAGACGAGAAGTCCTGAAAGTGCTCAGAGAAAAGTTTAAACCATAAGACAGAGATGCTGAGGGAAGCTGCAGAGCAACCAATAAACAGACCTTTTAGTGAGATTATTTAGTCAAACACAAAAATGTTGTAAAGCCACTTCATACAAAGCTAAATATACTTTAATGAAGCGACCTCTTTAAGTCAAGGTCCACTTACTGGCTTCTTCTCCTGCAGTGAGCTCCACTGAGGAGGACACCGAGATGCAGTTGAAAGCTCTGGGAAACAAAAATGGCAGAAACTTTGGAAGCTACAATTTCCAAAGTCGAGACTGAACTTCACTGGTTTTCCACAAATGAACATTCAGGTTGATACGACAGAGTATTAGGGCCAATAAGAAGACAAATAACTAATCATTTTAATTAAAAAACATCGTCATATTTTGTTTATAGAATAAAGTTGTTATATTTTGAGGATACAGTCTTAATATTTAGCTATTTAACTTTAAAGTTAGGATATTTAAATAAAAGTCTGAACCTTTCGATGATAAAGTTGTACTATTTTGGAATAATGTAATATTAAAAGAAGTCAAAAATAAATTCATATTTTGAGAAAAAAAGTTTTTATTATTATTATTTTGAGAATTAAGTCAGAAAATAAAAATTAAAAAGTCAATTTTTAGAATGAATTTGTAATATTTAGAGAAAAGTTGGACTAATTATAATATAATTAAATATAGTATGTAAATAGTATCTGTACAGTATTTATAGACTGTCAGGAAATTATAAAACATGCACATTTAACAGTGCTACAGAAATACTCGTGTTCAGGAAAAACTGGAATTATTGTTTAACTTTTTTGATTTCTACAGTACTATATACTGTATTAAACATTTACTGTGATTTATGAATTTGTTGTTGGTGGAAATCTAACTTTTATTTCTTGATTTATTTCACCTCTTTTCCTCTAAATTGTCAAAAGTTTTACTCTGAAAATGTTGCCTCTTACGTCTTGAAGTCCTGCGGCCCTAACACTCCGTCGCAGGTCGACAGACCGGAGGAAAGACTTTAAGACTTTAACTTTACAACATTAAACAGTAGAACGTCTGACATGGCAGTGTCTCTCTGATTGGTCTGCAGCCGTACCGACCGGAGGAATGCGATACAGAAGACAGGAATGTCGAGTCGAAGAGGCGCTTCATTAAGTTGCATCATTTTTTTCCCGCTAAATAACAAATTAAAACACTTATTGTTATTTTTATAAACGAACGATAAAAAAACGACGAGTGCAGAGGACGTATTCCTTCTTTCGTTATAAACATCAATATTGCACCGAAGCAGCATATTTGGACGAGCGTTCTGCATTTGAGTTTATCTTTAGAGAAAAGAGCTGCAGGGTAAAGGAGTTAGACGGGACGGTGGCTACCGGTGATATGCATAAATACAGTATAAAAATACAATATGGAGAAGATCTGGAGGGAGGCGAGTCGGGCTGGTAAGAGGCGAGTTGTGTTTGAGAGGAGAAGGGGAGGAGTTAAGATGCAGGTGAAGAGTTTATGATTTTGGAGCTACTAGAAGGTCTGGTCGTCGTTGCAGGACTCCGTGGCGTGACCGAAGGCCTCGCAGATGTCGCAGTAGGGCCTCTCGTTGGCCGGGTTGCCGTGATAGGCGGTGTGAGGTACCGAGTCGGGGCTCTGGGCCTGAGTGGGACAGTCCTCCGTGTCGTGGAGGTCGAAGCAGTCGCAGATATCGCAGAACAGACGCGGAGTCGCCTTCTTCTCCTTTTGCTTTGACACGCCGTCCACGAACCTGTGCGACAGAGAGAAGAGTGTTCTGTGTTTGTGTGTGTGTGTGTGTGTGAGAGATACATCTTTTTCCTCTGCAGAGGTGCAGAGGAAAAATCTGGTGTTTACGTCCTTGATTTGTTGTTTTATTTGACCAGCATCCCAAAAACCAAATGTACAACTTACAACATAAAACCTGCAGAAAATGCATCACAGTATATTTCTATTATTTCATATCTTTCTTACCCGTCCGGCCCGTCGTTGCCGTTGAACTCAGCCAGCGCCAGCTTCTTCAGTTTGATCTTCAGCTCCTCGTTCTTACGCTGCAGGTCCACGATCACGCTGTTCAGGAAGTTGATCTGAGGGAGACGAACGGAGACACAGATCACCTTCACAGTGGGCACAGATACGGACGTGGAGGTGTGTTTTGTGACGCGTCCTGACTGTCTCACCTGCCCCTCAGCGAACTCCTTCTCCAGCCTCAGCTGCTCCAGAGCTGCATCTCCTGCACAAGCATCAGAGAAAAAAAACGTTGACAAAAGAGGAGAAGAATGTCCAGAACGGTGTGAACGCTCTGATCCTCGTCTCCTCACCTGAGGGCGGAGCCTCCATGTCTTCTCCCTCCGACACCTGCGTTCCCATGAGCCTTTGCTCTAGACCGTGAACGCGGCTCCGCAGCTTAGCTTTGTCTCCCTCCAACGTCTCCACGGCCGCCTGCAGCGTCTTGGCCACGGCGTTCTCTCCTCGCAGCACGGCGATCTGCAGCGACCGTTTCAAACATTCAGAAAACACGGAGCCGAGTTCAAAAAGAAATGATGAGAAAGTCACGAGCTGGTACCTCGTTCCTCAGAGTCTCCAGCTCCTGGTCTTTGTCCGAGATTAAGACTCCGGTGGATTTCTGGAAGTTTACCTCCCCCTCCGTCCCCTGATTGGAGACGGTTTCTCTGTGGACAGATGGAGCGATTCAGAGTCATCATGGTTCAAAAACAGCTGAGCGGTGAACCCAAATATTTATCAAGTGAAATCATCTCTTAGAGACGTTATTCTATGTTCTCGGTCAGTTCAGTTGTTTGTCCAGAGAGTGCTTTTATTAATGCATGTAAGTATATAGTGAATAATATAGTATATTTTGTTTTCTACTGTAAAACATTAGACTTTACTGGAAAATTTCAGCATAAATACAATTTTAAGAATAGGAACCGTGCAAAAAACAATGTGTAGACGTGTTTTGAGTTAAAATTCACGCTCATTAGAAAGTTGATGCTGAATCGATGTATTGTGCAGCCTCGTGTGTGCACAAGATACAAACAAAACCCACTCAAACAAGGCTTCATAGCGCTACTAGAGGTAAAAACAAACACTAGTACCTTTAATATTAATGCAGGTAAATATATAGTCTGTAAAACATCCTCCTGACTTCACTGGTAAATAGTATCCAGGTTCCAGAATAAATACAATTTAAAGAGACAAATAATGCTGGATCTTTACATCAACACAGTCACACAACTGTGAGAAACCAAGAATTTAATATAAATTCACAACAAAGAATCATCTCAGTGGATTAATGGAGTTGAGGAATTTAACACCTGCCTCCTTGCAACTTTCAATTTTTAAAGTGTGTGCAACTGAAAGTGAGTCAGACCGCGTTGAAAAGGCCGAACATGAGAGAAATAAAGAGTACACACACACATAAGGAACCCGTCTGCCGGTGTCTTACCTGGTCTTCATGTCTGGCTGCTGACTGTTGCGCTCCTCATTGTGCTGAGAGGCAAACACACACAGATATAGAAGCATTTAAATAGAAGCTAAACCCGTCTGAGCTTCAAGAGTTCAGTCACAGCGGGAAGTAAATCCTCGCTGTGCCAAAACCTATTAATCAATTCACCGTTTCTGACTTAAACTCTGACCTAGAGCAGGCTGACGCTAAAGGAAGTCGTTTATATAATAATCATTTTTACCTCGTCAAGAGACTTCTGGGAGGCCAGCTTCAGCTCCTCACTGAGAGGAAGGAGAAAGAAGAGGAGACATTAGACCTAAAGGAAGAACAGTCTGTGATGTATCGGAGTCACCATCGTTGCTGTACGCTTCAATCCGGTGTGCAGCCAGATGTGTTAGCATCTGTTAAACATGCACCCACAGAAGAATTCAATGATTTGGTGTGGAAAGATGAAATATGAATCGTCCAATTTGATTATGAGCTGAAAAGTTGTGCAGCAGGTCAGATAAAGTTGCACTGCTTTGTGAAATGAAAAGAGAAAATGCCCCAAAGCCTTTTCATGGTTCCACTTCCATCTGCAGCAACTAGTCCAATCATCTATAAAACGATTTAAAGATAAATATCTGGCATCGTTTAAGTCACTTTTTAAGCAAAAATTTCAGAATTTGCTAAAACAAGACATTTGAAGATATATTCTGGCTTTTATAGACGAAACAAATCATCGATTAATTGAAGAAAATGATCTTCAAATGAACCGATAATGAAAACACTAGTAAATTGTAGACCTAGTTTAACTTTGTATCCAATAAAAAGAGTTGCAACCATATTCAAATGAACATATTCCTGTAGAAATACTTTGTCTCCCTCGGTGGCACCTTTAAAGAGAGACAGCAGCGTTTAGAGACACTGAGACTGAAGCTGTGAAAGAAACAAATACAGCACGCTGCATCATTTGCATCCAGATGTTCAAGACAAAAAGCATATGCCGCTGATGTCATTTAAATGATGCTATAATCACCTGAAGATTCAGTACATAGAGTTTTTGGCCACATTGGGAAACTCATAAAGTGTTATTTACACATCCAGCAGCAACAGAGCAGCATTAGCAGCATTAGCAGCATTAGCATCCGCAGCCTGCAGACCTGATGAACTAGTCCTTTTAGTCCTTTTATCTCCGGTGTTGGTCTCCACCACCTCCTGAGGGAAATCTCTGCCTCTTTAACTGCTGAACGCTCCACCATGTTCAGCATGTTTTTATATTGTGCTGAGCTGAAAACAGCTGCCTGCAGAGTCTCATAACTAGAGTTGAGCCCTTTCACAGAACACAGATATTTAAATATTGATTAAAGCCGCTTTAGAGCAAACAAAGACTCCTGAATCATGCTTCCTTTTACATTTTATTCAGGTCAACTCCTTTTTCATGAGCATTTTTAAAAGCAGTGAGATCAGTTTGGACTACATTCTGAAAGTACACGTACTCTATACACTTTCTACTGATATAATCCAAAGAATCCAGAGCCATCTGTTGGTCTGTATCTGCTGCTACATCGTCCTATTTTAAACATCTTAAAGGATTTAACAGCCGTAAAACCCCACCGTGCTTCATACACTCTGCAGCGCTGCAAAGACACAGCAGTGATACAGCACGCACGCATGAGGAACACCACCAGGATGTTATAAAGACGAGCATATGATCACATTTAGACCCACAGACAGCCGCACAGACTGTGTTGTCTGGGAATGTATGAACCTGGATATTTTGGGATGCTGGAACCGAACGATTTCTGCGGGAGGAATTGAAATTAGCTCCATATAGGTCATTCTTAGGATTTGTGTCAAAGGAAGACGCTATGTGTGACTAACAGCTTCTCCTGGCAGCAGCTGGATGAAATGTTTATCTGCCTGCTGTGTAATTATATCGGCCATGCCTCCATAGCATCCCCTCAAACACAACAGAGGAGTTTAAAGGCACTATAGAAAGATACGTTTTATTACACACACGTTGTAAAGCAAACGTCACTGCTGCGTCTCTCACTCGTATTCTCTCTCTGAGTGTAAACAGCAGCAGCTGGGGCGCCGCTTCTCCAATTGTACTTTGGAAATGTATTCATGCATCATCTATGATTTAACAGCGTATTACTGTAGTTTTATGCTCCACGTCTCTGCAGAGAGAATTGAAAATTAAACTTTCATTTCTACACCAGAACACATGGAAGAGTTTGGGTCTGTTTGAACACTTTGGTCCAGAATTAAATAACAATTGTCGGATGGATTGTCATAGAATCTGGTGCAGAGATTCACGTCCCTCAGAGGATGAACCCTAGTAATAGTTCCTTCAGCGCCGCCATGAGGCCAACATGTTTTTAGAGAAATATCTCCACAACTTTAAGATGGATTATGAAATGTCCCTTTCAGGATGAAATGTAATAAATGTCCTTAATTCCGTAACTTTTTACCAACTCATCATGTTAGTTACTATTCAAAACTAACCCGAGTCCCATCAGCCTCAGTTGTCCTTTGTGTTTACTGCTAATGAGCAAATGTTAGCATGCTAACAAGCTAAACTAAGATGGTAAACATGACGCCTGCAAAACATCTGCATGTTATCACTGTGAGCTTATTAGCATGCTAACGTTAGCATTCAGCTCAAAGCACCATTGTGTGAAAGTGCAGCCTCGCAGACTGTCGACTCTTGCTTTGACAGCGTCATGTGTAAGTGGAGAATCATTCTGACTGTGAAATAAAGGCTTTATAAACACCACAAAAAAATATGAATTATTAAATATTTTTGGAGGTATTAACAGCTGATTTTAACAGACAAACCAATCAGGATTTGACCTGCAGTGACACCAAAAACGACATAAAACACACATCTGAGCTGTTTACAGCTGCTCTCCGAGACGCCACAAAGGTTACATTGATTCCACACACACACACACACACACACACTCTGATGTCACAGTGAGAGCAGCAGCCATGTTGGAGCCAGGCGGTCCTAGGAGGAGAGACGGAGCAATTACATAACAGCCGCAGACTGAGGAAGGATGGAGGAACACATTGTTGACAGGAGAACGGATGTTTAACAGGACTCTTCTTTGTGCAGAGCTTAAAAAAATGAATTGGGCATCGACAGAGATGCAGACGCTCCTTCTGTTTCACCGGAACTAAAGATATTTGTTGACATCTCCATCTGCTGCTCCTCCTTCAGGACGCTACATATATTGATGACTATAATTCAGCCAATTAGATCCATCTGGAGCTTTGACGTCACAGCTCGGGGCTCTGATGACTCAGGGGAGGTGTGGCGGGACGATGTAAAGACACCACACACATGTACACACCAACACACACACACATACACATACACACACACACACACACACACACACACACACACGGTCTAGAAACAGGCCTCGACATCCGGCCGGAGATCCACCAAAGACACAACAGAGTCAAATAAAAACATGCTGTTAAAGGTATTTTTACTTCCCATCAAAAACTGTTTCAGCTCAGCGATCAGTCAAAGCTCTGCCGGTAATTAAAATTTTAATGAATTTGTTTCTATGCCAACACAGCCATGAAAGGAGTCGGTAATACATCTCGCTGTTCACAGAGGTCTTAAAGGACATTTAGTGCTTTTGCATCAAATCATTTTGCAACAAAATGCTGTTTTTTTACGAGTGTGAATGCATTTTGTTTTCATGCATTCATTTTATCTCTATCGAAGCTCTTGAGTTGTGTCATCCGTCACACAGAGAACCCATAAGGACCCTGCTTCTCCTTCTCAGTGCATCATGCACAGATGGAAGGAGCGGCACAAACAGGACGGAGGTTCACTCAAAGGAGGCAACACAAAGTGAAATCACGTCTCACATGTAGGGCTGGATATCAGTGCTCGACAATAACCAGTACCCAGTAGTGTTGTTGCTTCTCAGTCACCTTTACGGGAGACACGCAACCCAACACACGAGTTATCACGAGTACTCACATTTCCTTGCAGAGGACTCCGATTCGCTGGTTTTCTGAGCCGCTCCGCTCCTTCGACAGACTGAGCTCCTCCTGGTGTTTGGAGTTCTGCTGTTTTAAAGCCTCAAGCTGAAGAGGAACACACACACACACACACACACACACACACACACACACACACACACACACGGTTTACGTTTTCTCTTTGAAAATATTCACAGCTAAAATATTGTTGCACTGGAGCCCGTTCGGACTGGATTTGTTGCTCCGGGGGAGGTTTGGGAGAACTTAACATCTTGCTAGTCAGTGATTATAATCCCATCCGGTACGTTTTCATGTACTTCTATTACACGTATGCCGAATTATCTATTAGCAGTTCCTGTTTGCAGTGTAGCCATGGATGTACAGACCACAGAAAACTTAAAATGTGATGATTCTCACAGTTTGGAAGCGTCTTTTTTTCGAGGATTTCTATGCGTTTGTTTGCGACAGTAGAGAATCACACTGAATGATATCAATACGCTCCGTGAGTTGTTCGAGAAGTAGTGCCTCCCTTTCAATTCTCCTGTTAAAAACGTTTCGTAAAGACGTCCGTGGATCCGGAGGAAGCTCCCAGAGACTTCAAATGTCTTATTTTGTTCTACGAAGAGTACAAAACCCAAAGACATTACATTTTGTTGCAGAAGATAAAGAGAGGCAGAACATCTTCATGTTACAAAAGCTGGAACCAGCAAATGTTTGACCCGAAGTTTCGGGGTTAAAACGCCGCCGATGAACCAGAAGGTTGCTGGTTCGAGTCTAATCTCGACCTTTAGTTGCTTCTCACTCTCCTTTATTCCATGATATCTGTACTGTCTGTAACAAAGAATAAACATGTTTCCCCTTCCCCCAAAACACAGCTCTACTCTTCACCATGAACATATATTCAACATCAGATCCCATTGACCCGCGTTCACATCAGAGGAAGAGCAGCAGTCAGACGAGAGGAGTTCTGGGTCACAGAGAGAAGCTGCAGTTAATTCTTAAAAACACGACACATTGAAGTATTTTTGGTGAGTCAGCAAAGAGCAGAATGAATCCACGTGAAACTAAAAATAAAAGCTCCAAAGACGTCACACCCTTCAACTTCTCCTCGTGCAAACCTTTACTTTCTCATTCCACTCATTCAGATACGCTCCAAAAGAAAACACTTCTCACGGATCATCAAATGGACTCGTGCAGCGCTGCGATCTCAGCGGCGTTCAAATAGCAGCAGTCAATAAAGAATTACTGTCAAATCAATGTGTTTGTTGCAGCTGGCTTCAGATGAACTGGAATAAAAACTCATGTATTGATTCACACCGTCAGTCTGCTGCATGTTTCTGTTCGCACGTCGACAAGTGTCATCGGCCGTGTCTTCAGATGCCTTTGCATCCGAGTTTCTGACTTTTTAAGCACCTCAGAAATGATCTACAGCTCCATATGCAGACATAAACATAAACACACACACACACACACACACACACACACACACACACACACACACAAACGTGCAGAATGTAAACATTATCTGCTCGGGTCACAAGCACAACATACATCACAAAATCTCACATCAAACACCAGTAAAAATCCTGGAGGAGAGCTAATTAGTGACGAATGAACAGCATCTCTTCCTGCTCAGAGATTCAGTAGAACGCACTTTAATCTGCTGCACTGATCATCTTTACATCCTGAGCTTGAAACAAAGACAAGCCTACCTGGTAGTGAGGCGAGTAGATGTTACTGGAGTAGCCCTGATGCAGAGCGGCCACGTCCATACCTGCACCGCTCACCACTGCCGGAGTTTAAAGCGATGTTCACCTGTTTAACAGCAGCAGTGATGTCGCTATGCACCCCCCCCCACCCCTTCCTCCTCCTCTCTACAGCATCACACACACGCGGACTAAAACACTAAAACAAGCTGAGCATCAATAAACCAGCAGCTCTCATCCCCCGCCGAGCTCGGCTGAGAGAGGGAAATGGAGAGTGTGTCGCCTCTCTCTCGCTCTCTTACACACACACACACACACACACACACACACACACACACACACACACAGTTGGAGCACTTCCATTATGTAACTCAGACCAGAATAAGCTCCTCCCAGACCCCCCCCCCCCCCCCCCCCCCCGCCCCCCCCCGCCCCCACCCTTCTTTCCCGACTTTCCGACGGCGTATGTACACACTCCTCTAACAGATGCTCCTTCATGTTTAACATGAATCACAGCAAACACAGGAAACAACTAGCCATTCATACTGTAGTCTCTGATACTGAATATCTAACATGTGATCTAATAAATGTGATAGTGATGGAGCGAGACAATCTAACTGGGGCAAACAATTATTTTCATTAGCGATTAATCGCTTGGTCGATGAAATGTCATAAAAAAAGTCAAAGAAATCGTCATTTTCAACGAGTTTAAACTTTCTTTTGGTTGACGATTCCTTTCAAAACCCAATTATATTCAGTTTACTGTCAAAGAAGACGGAGAGGACCAGAAAATAACCACGGCATGTGAAGGATACGTTTATTCTCCCACTTCTTTACAAAATAAAGAATGTAAACAATCAGTTTACTCTGACAGAAGATGGAGAAATCCCGCTAATTACCACAGCTGAGGAGCTGAACGAGCACATTTTGGGGCTTTTTGACACAAACTCTGTGGTTTAAGGTAAGACGACAATAAACGTCTCCAGTTTGAGTCTCTGAACTGTTTGACTGATGTGTTTGAACATAAATGACCTAACTAGGGCTGCAAACTAACAATTATTGTCATTATCAATTAATATGTCAAATGGGGTCTGTTTCCGATGCTTGTTTGTTGATCGATCTTTAGTCCAAAACCCAACGATATTCTATCCATCCTACAAATAATGAGAATAAATCAGGAAACCAGCAAATAGCCACAGCTGGGAATACAAACCAACCAAAACAGTACCACCAAAAGGTTTGTGGAATGACAAATATGAATAATAAAAAGCATGTTTATGCTCCGTCTCTCCCACTCCACTCAAAAAAACCCAAAAATCCAGTTTACCATGAAAGACCAAGAAAACCAGCAAATAATAACCTCAGCTGAGAAGCTGGAAACAGACGCTTTTCTTGCATCTCACTCTCTCATTTCCTTATCATCATCATCATCATCATCATCATCAGCTGTCTAATGAAGGCTTTAAAATGATACAGATTAATAGCAAAGATATTAATAAAACCATGTGTGACAGCACGAGACAAGAGGCCGATCTCAAGTCAACCGTTCGTTAACTAAACACTGTGGTGTCCAGCCAGGCATCCACACACACACACACGCACACGCACACACACACACACACACACACACACACACACACACACACACACACTCAAACGTGCAGAATGTAAACATTATCTGCTCGGGTCACAAGCACAAC